TTGACACCAATGTCATCATGTACACCTTTTTGACCATGAGAATGTTGTAGTATTGGTTGTACACACCAGTACTTATATGCTAGCTGTGTTTATATCCATTGAGGTGGTCATATTGCATCGTGAGGTATATCTCAATATTCTAGCGCTGCATGTTTTTCTCTTTGTGACACAGCAAAATATATTCCCATGAGCAACACGTTTAAAAGGCTAAAAATCAAACCTATGTGTCTTATGGCCAAAGTTAAAAAATCTATAGATAATAAGAAAAGAGCTTTTATTAAATATAAAAATGAAGGAATGCTATCATCATTTAAACATTACAAAGAATATAACAGAATATGCAAAAAGGAAATAAAGGCCGCAAAAATTGAAAACGAACGACAAATTGTAAAAGATAGCAGGACCAACCCCAAAAAATTCTTCAAAATATATTAATAGTAAAAAGGTCCGGTCTGAGCATGTAGGCCCTTTACAAAATAATCTAGAGTGGGTGACTGGGGACAAAGAGAAGGCAAATTTATTAAATACCTTCTTCCGCTCTGTGTATACAAAGGAGCATGGGGGAGGTCTTGTCCATAATCGGCATGGTATTGACACAGCTCCAGATGATCCACATTGGCTCACAATTGATATGATCCAAAAGTATTTAGACAGAATAAAGGTGAATAAAGCACCTGGACCAGATGGCATACACCCACGATCCTTAAAGAATTGTGCTCTGTCATTTCAAAGCCATTGTTTCTAATTTTTAAGGACTCTTTAATGACTGGCATAGTACCACTAAGGTATATAAGTCATGGCCGAAATTGTTGGCACCCTTGATATTTTTCCTGAAAATCAAGTATTTCACACAAAAAAGGTATTGCATTAACACATGTTTTGCTATACACATGTTTATTCCCTTTGTATGTATTGGAACAAATATAAAACAGAGGCAGAAAAGCAAATATGACATAATGTCACACAAAACCCCAAAAATGGGCTGGACAAAAGTATTGGCACCCTTAACTTAATATTTGGTTGCACACCCTTTGGAAAACATAACTGAATCAGTCGCTTCCTATAACCATCAATAAGCTTCTGACACCTCTCACCCGGAATTTTGGACCACTCTTCCTTTGCAAACAGCTCCAGGTCTCTCTTTATTGGAAGGACACCTTTTCCCAACAGCAATTTTAAGATCTCTCCACAGGTGTTCAATGGGATTTAGATCTGGGCTCATTGCTGGCCACTTCAAACTCTCCAGCGCTTCTTTGCCATCCATTTCTGAGTGCTTTTTGACGTATGTTTGGGGTCATTGTCCTGCTGGAAGACCCAGGATCTTGGACGCAAACCCAGCTTTCTGACACTGGGCCCTACAGTGCGACCCAAAATTGGTAATCCTCAGATTTCATGATGCCTTGCACACAGTCAAGGCACCCAGTGCCAGAGGCAGCAAAACAACCCCAAAACATCATTGAACCTCCACCATATTTTACCGTAGGTACTGTGTTTTGTTCTTTGTAGGCCTCATTCCGTTTCGGTAAACAGTAGAATGATGTGCTTTACCGAAAAGCTCTATCTTGGTCTCATCTGTCCACAAGACGTTTTCCCAGAAGGCTTTTGGCTTACTCAAGTACATTTTGGCAAAACTGTAGTCTTGCTTTTTTATGTCTCTGTGTCAGCAGTGGGGTCCTCCTGGGTCTCCTGCCATAGCGTTTCATTTCATTTAAATGTCGACGGTTTAGTTCGCGCTGACACTGATGCTCCTGATGCAGGACAGAGAATGTCTTTGGAACATGTTTGGGGCTGCTTATCCACCATCCGGACTATTCTGCGTTGCAATCTTTCATCAATTTTCCTCATCCGTCCACGACCAGGGGATTAGCTACAGTGCCATGGGTTGCAAACTTCTTGATAATGTTGCGCACTGTGGACAAAGGGCAAATCTAGTTCTCTGGAGATGGACTTGTTTAACCTTGAGATTGTTGATATTTTGCCAAAATTTTGGTTCTCAGGTCCTCAGACAGTTCTCGTCTCCTCTTTCTGTTGTCCATGCATAGACAGTGTGGCACAGACAGACACACAATGCAAAGGTTAAGTGAACGTCTCTCCTTTTTATCTGCTTTCAGGTGTGATTTCTATATTGCCCACACCTGTTACTTGCCCCAGGTGAGTTTACAGGAGCATCACATGCTTGTAACATTCTTATTTATCCGCAGTTGTGAAAGGGTGCCAATACTTTTGTCCAGCCCATTTTTGGAGGTTTATGTGACATTATGTCGAATTGCTTTCTTTCCTCCCTTTTTTTTGTTTTGTCCCAATACACACAAAGGGAATAAACATGTGTATAGCAAAACATGTGTTAATGCAATACGTTTCGTGAGAAATACATGATTTCCTGGAGAAATATCAAGGGTGCCAAACAATTTCGGCCATGACTGTAGTTATTTAAGCCAATATTTAAAAAGGGGTTAAAATCTTTACTAAGTAATTAAAGACTTGTTAGTTTAACTTCTATAGTTGGGAAGATACTGGAGAGTTTAATAAAAGACCACATAGATGAGTTATTGCTGGAAAAATTTTTTTTAAAGCAACAGACAGCATGGATTCATGAAAGACAGAAGTTGTCAAACAAATCTGATTTCTCTGAGGAGGTGAGCAAAATCTTGGACAGAGGGGTGGCAAGACGTGATATACTTGGATTTTGCAAAAGCGTTTGACACAGTTCCCCCACACACGGCTAATGTGTAAGGTAAAGTGTACGGTCTGGAAACATTTGTATGTAAATGGATAGAAAACTGGCTAAAAGATCGTATTCAAAGAGTAGTGGTTAATGATTCATACTCTGAATGGTCTAGGGTTGTCAGTAGTGTATCCCAAGGTTCAGTGTTGGGACCCTTACTTTTAATATATTTATAAACTATATAGGGTCTGGGATTAAAAATACAGTTTCAGTTTTTGCAGATGACACCAGCTGTGCAGTGGAATAATGTCCTTACAGGATGTCTTCAACTTACAAGCCAACCTCAATGATCTGTTTAATTGGGCAACTATGTGGCAAAAGGTTTAATGTTGATAAATGTAAGGTTATGCACTTGGGGGCTAAGAATATGCATGCATCATACATACTAGGGGGGTACAACTGGGGGAATCAATGGTGGAGAAAGATCTGGGAGTTCTGGTAGATCACAAGCTTAATAAGGGCATGCAATGCCAAGCTGCGGTTTCTAAAGCGAGCAAAATCCTCTCTTGTATTAAAAGAAGTATAACTCCAGAGAGAGAGATATCATTTTACCCCTGTACAAATCATTAGTAAGACCTCATCTGTCATCTGGAATATGCAGTTCAGTTTTGGGCACCATTTCAGAAAAAAGAACATTGGGGAACTGAAAAAGTACAGAGAAGGGTAACCAAACAGATAAGAGGCATGGAGGAGCTCAGCTATGAGGAAAGATTACAGGAACTGAATTTATTCTCTCTTGAGAAAAGATTAAGGGGGGATATGATCAACATGTATAAATACATCAGTGGTTCTTATAGTGAACTCGGTGTAGAGCTATTCACCCTGAGGTCATCACAGAGGACAAGGGGGCACTCTTTACGTCTGGAGGAAAAGAAATTTAATCACAAAACATGGAAAGGTTTCTTCACAGTGAGAGCTGTGAAAATGTGGAATAGACTCCCTCAAAGAGTTGGTTCTGGCCAGCTCAGTGGATTGCTTTAAAGAAAGCCTGGATTATTTCTTATATACACAGAATATAACTGGATACTATCATTTATAGGTAAAGTTGATCCAGGGAATATCCGATTGCCTCTCGGGGGATCAGGAAGGAATTTTTTTCCCTGCAGGAGCAAATTGGATCATGCTTTGCTGGGTTGTTTTGTCTTCCTCTGGATCAACTGTGGGTATAGGATTATAATTTTTTTTTAATAGTTGAACTGGATGGACTTTTGTCTTTTTTCAGCCAGACTATGTAACTGTGTAACAATGTCCCTGAGAGTCATAATGTCCTGTAATTCTACATGCTGTACATCTTTAAAGCATCCCCACGCATGTTGTTTAAAGGAATTGCATTTTTTTATGTTGCCCTTTTTAGCCGCTCCAAAATGGCCTCTCCTTGTTGAACAATAACTTTCTTTTCTTCCTTTGGTACATGTCCCTCAGATCAGTGCCCAGCCCTACATGCTCTTCTTCTGTCATTCCCTTGATGTTTAGCTTTATTTAGCCCTTTACTGAAATTGAACTTTTAGCTTCTATTAATTTTAGTGGGGGTTCAGATTTTGAATCTGAACTTCAATAAAGTTCATCGAACAGAACCCCATACATTCTGCTCACCAATAAATAGGAAAAATGTTAAAAATATGTAATGAACATCAAAATATAAACTATTGATTTTTAAAAACATATACAGTATATGTTATGCAATACATATGAAAAATTAGCAACAGAATATTTTACTCAAGGACAGGATTAAGAGGAACAATGTTTCTCTGGAAGTCTGTGCTATTATATCTTTTCTAAAAATAAAATTCTTCTAAATATGAAGGCGTAGGTTACTGAATAAGATATGAAAATAATATTTATTGTCATCATATCCATATCATGCAAAAATAAAACCAAATGTATTTGATAAATTAAAAAATTACATTTACATAGTCCATACACATCTATAGTATAATCACTCATGGTGAAATAAATAGAGAAAATATATTAAACACCAACACTGCTAGTAACAAGGCACATTCATCAATTTCTACTTCACAAAATAACAAGTCAATTGTTAATTTTGCCTGAATTTTGGACAATGGATACATAGTAGAGAAAATAAACATTACACTGCTCTTCCCACACTATTATTTAATTGTACAGTAGAAATTACACGTTTGACAGAACACTACAAAAGATTGTGTTGTATATTTCAAAAGTTAATTTGGATCTTCTTGTGAAATCTAGTAGACAACAATATACACAATTCCCATGAGGTGTATGCAGTGGTGAGAAGGACCCTCTCAATCATTTATATAACCTGATCTCCAGTTTGTTTGAGGCCAGTAACTCTAGCTGCCAAGAGAAAGGCCATTCCAGTCAATATTTCTGTGATGAAAGATATCCATGCCAAAGCCAATGACCATCCAAACCGTATGTCAATTTCAGACAGAATTGCACTGCCTGAGGAATACAGTACATAATTAAATGCAGCAGCAGAATAGGCAATGTAAATGCTAATTCCCGTTAGAGTCACTAGTGCTGAAGAGATAAGAAAGTAAAAATTAATATTCACACATTTTTAATCAGCATGTAAGTTCAGTGCAAGCTAAATTCGGTGCATGTATATAAAGTGAAACTGTGACCAGGGTATGGACATTCAAAAGTTTTTCATATCGCTGATTAGCAGTGAATTGGTTTCAAAACAAGCTCTTACTGACCTCTGTTGCTACAGCTGTTACGGAGCAATACACCCTAGACATGTACAGCAGAAAGTACTTTCAGTTTCATTTCAACGGTTGAAAAGTTGAAAAACTTTTGATTTTTTTTTTGCTTGTTTTGTCCCAAATGTGTTGTGCCTTTTCATTTCATTTTAGCAGCTCAGCTTATTCTACTCCCCTCTCCCAGCAATATCTTAATAGCCTGCTAAGCCTTTCAGTCTCTAATGTGAACAAAGGGCAGAATATTGAGACCTGGCTTGATAACTTCATGTTTTCTCTTGTGCATTTTGAGGATGAATTGCTCAACAACTACATCTAGTGAAATCAGTGATGGCTTGTTTTGAAGCTCATTTGCAGTCTAGTCTCATTGCAATACAAGAAGTCACAGAAATACAAGTAGCACCACCTTGCTTGTGTGCCTAACCCCAAAATCACTTTTTAATTTTGGACTTTTTTCATTTTCTCAGTCTCTAACTATGAATCTTATTCTTACTGTAGAAGAATATATTCTCAAAGCGCAAAAGATTCTCTTAGAACAGAGAAAAAAAGACTACCCTCGCAAAACCAAGTAAACTTAGGGTGATGCAAGAGACCTTTTTTGGAGACAAGTCTATAGATCCTCCTTCGCTCAGATTTACTGTTTCTATATTATATTGTCTGAAGCCTAGCTAGACTTATGTCCAGCCTTTTGCTTATCCTTACAGTGCTCTTTAGACTTTATTACTATACAAGGCCTTCCGGCCTGTTTTTGCAGTTTAGTAACATGTTAGACTCCATTTGTGATACATAGAGTGTTCTTTTTTTACTCGATCTAGCTATTTCTAATGTCTTCTTTTGTTTTCTTTCTTTTGGTGGTTATACTGGAATTTTTATAAAGAATGCATAAACATAAATTATATAAAATTCATTTGGGTACAGTGTTGCATGACTATTTCTCATTCAAAGTATGACAGCTCTGAAATCTGAAAAATGGTATGGGCTGAGAAAGAATGAAACAGTCCAGTCTTGATGTAGTTAAAAGGAGTTTCCTACATTATCTATAGATCTATTCTTCAAACCATTTCAAACTTACCAATAGTTATATTTGCCTATTACTGCCTTTTTAACACTCGCCTACAGGGCACTTACTATAAACCCCCTTCCTGCCCAGGTCAATTTCCAGCTCTCAGCACTGTCACACTTTGAATGACAATTGCGCGGTCATGCAACACTGTACCCATATGAAATTTTTATAATTTGTTTGTGACAGATAGAGCTTTATTTTTGTGGTATTTAATCACCTCTGGGTTTTTTATTTTTTCTTAAACCAAAAACCACTGAAAATTTTGAAAAAAAAAGTTTTTTTTCTTAGTTTTTGTTATACAATTTTGTAAATAAGTGATTTTTCTCCTTCACTGATGTGCGCTTATGAGGCTGTAGTGATGGGCACTGATAGGTGGCACTGATGGGCACTGATGAGGAGGAACTGGTAGGTGGCACTGATGGACATTGACAGGCATCACTGATGGGCACTGACAGGTGGCACTGACAGGTGGCACTGATGGACACTGACAGGTGGCACTTCTGGGGCCACATTGATCATCAGGGCACACTGATCATCAGTGCCCTGATGATCAGTGTACATGTCCCCTCCGCAAATGCCGATTACCGGCTCTCCTCTCCTCTCGAGCTGGCAGCGTGACAGCTCGAGAGGAGAGAAATGCCAATAACGGCATTTCCCTTTTTACATGTGATCAGCTGTGATTGGACACAGCTGATCACATGACCGAGCCAACATCTTCGGCTCTTTCCGTGGATCTGTGATCCGCTATGTCCTAGGGACACAGCGCACTGCCGTTCGCCACGCTGCGCAGTCCCTGAGCCACACATGCGTGGTGAGAATGGGAGGACATCATATGATGTCCTCCCAGAACGAGAGAACCACCTTGCACCCGTCATTGGACTGTATGGCAGGCGGGAGGTGGTTAAAGCAGTATTAATTCCAAACGCAAACATTTATCACATTGCAACTTACCAGTTCTTAGGTGTGATGGCTTTCTTAGTTTCCTTTTTTAGGCTTTCTTTCTTCTATTTTCACCTGGTGATCCAGCCAGTAAGTCAATTGTTTTTCAAAAGCACAAGCTCTCCAAGAGAATGTATCAGTTTACAAGAATGAGACAAACCATTTACCACTGGCAGGGGTGATTAAAATGAACAGCTTTTATTTATTCATGCAAAACCTTTTTCTCAAGAGGAAAAACAAACTGTTGCTGTAATTGATTATAATGTGTAAGCTAGAGTTTGACTTCAATGTGTTATTGCATTAAAATCTGCTAATACATTTAACACTCCCCTCCCCCCAAGACTGAAAATGCTGCTGTTCCTTCAACCAGACTGGGGGCACTCTAGTACAGGATGGTTTGTTACTGGCCAGATCACCAGGTGAAAACAGAGGAAAAAAGTCAAAGAAAAGACAAAGAATGTAGCCACCACATCGGATGATTGGCAAGCTGCAATACAATACATTTTTGGTTTTGGGTTTAATCCCGCTTTCAGGCGAATCCATTATCACTTATTCATAATAAGCCATTTCTGTTTTTCTTTTATACCATGACTTTTATAGCTGTAGAACACCATGCCGTCAAAGGAGGTGGCATAAGACATATTTGGAAAGCGGCAGTTGAGGCTGAAGATAACTGTATTAATGGCCAGGCTGTGTGTAGTCCATCTTATTTTCCATTTCAGCTTTTTTGCACTTAGTTGTTTTGGCATGTGTATACTATTAGAAAACAGCATGCTACTAGCTGGGATTTCTTTTCAGCAAAAGCATGCAGATGCCCTAAGAATTAATCTGGCTACCTGCCAACCTTACTGAATTATTGATATTAGAGCAGAGATTGCATTCAGGAGACTGAGATGTTTTTCAAGCAGATAAAAACAGATTTCCTTCACAATTTCAAGTACATGTTCTACAGTTTGGATTATGAAGACTGTGTTTTTAATCATCATTTACATTCTGTTCCACAAGACGGATGCATATTGTTGTGCTTTATATGGTATATGGTAATTCCGTGTAAATGCCATATGTATTTAGTGGTATCATGGCAATTTCTTCAACATTGTAGGAGCTTGTTTGCCAACGCTCTTACTGTGTGTTTATGTTTTTTGCCAATAGTACTTGGAAACATAATGGGGACCTTAAAGCGGAGTTCCAGCTGAAAAAAAAATAAAAGTCAGCAGCTATAAAAACTGTAGCTGCTGACTTTTAAAATAGAGACACTTACCTGTCCCTCAATCCAGCGGTGTCCTCACCACGGCTGGTTTCACCCACTGTCTTCTCTCCCTGGCACTGGCATCTTCAGTGTGGGCACTCAGCTGTGACACCTTGCGACTTCAAAGCCGGGTGCCCACTGTGCTTGCATGAGAAGCGCTGCACTTTGTGAATAGCCCGTAGTCTTCTGGGGCCTGTCACAAGTCCCAGAAGACTATGGGGAGGGAGGGGGGGAGGACAACTTCCTCTTCTGATTGCCTTAGGCGATCGCAGCGAAAGTGGGAGCGGGTACCTGTCAAATTTTGGGTACCCGCTCCCACCCCCTATTCCCCAAAGGTGCCAATCGTAAATGGGGATCGGGGGACAAAGGCTTAAAGTAGAACTTCCTCTTTTGGGAGGAGCTCCGCTTTAAATGGAAGGACTGCTTTCAACCACCCAAATAAAATTAGTTGCAAAAAAAACCTAAAAGATGCTACCAAAAAAAAGAAAAACGTGAAAAACCCTTGGTTTTGAAATCCGACACTTGAAGATGGTAAGGGTGATGTTAGCATGCCATCGATGCCTCCTGGGAAAGCTGTGCAATATCCCATGAGAATGCATACCAGCCCGTGTAATCTCCAAAGTGTCAGAAACCAAGACCAAGGTATTTTATAAATGTGTTTTTTATAGCATCTCCATTCTTAAAGTGTTACTAAACCCACAACAGTAAAATTAGTCTGTATATGCAATCAAGCATGCTTGTTATATTCACTGTCGAACCTAAGGGGTTACTCCTCTGCATTGTGTAAAAAGGCTGTTTGATCTTGGCTTCTCTGATCCTCCCCTTCTTCTATTCCCCGACTCATCTCCTGATAACCAAGAGTCTTTGGAGTCACTCTGCACATGCTCAGTTTAGTGTGTATGTGCTAGAGAGTTTTTTTTCCTTTGGGAGGGTGCATGTGATCCGCAGAGGGCCAATTAGCACTGCCCAGACAGGTCAGGGGTTCTGTATCTTTCTAGAAACTATAACCAGTGCTCAGCTGACACAAGACTTCTCTAACTGCTAATGAGACAGGGTATTTAGCAGTTTATATTTACTAAACTAATTGCATTTCCATGTTCTGGGTACTGTGGGAGACCAGATATAGTAAAGTGAATGCAGGGTCCTGTATTTAGTAACAGTTTAACCGTTTCCCCTCCACCCTATAGTAGAATTACTGCTACAGGGGGCATGTAAATTCACGTATATATGTGTGATTTGCATTTCTGGGTAGGAGGTGTGTGAATACGCCGCCCTACCCACGCCACCATTGGTGGCTACAGATCACCGAGTCCCGGCTGGAGATCCCTGCCGGCACCAGTCAATCACCGAGTAACACTGACAGGGGACAGACCTGTGAGTAAACAACACAGGTCTCTCTCCTGCCAGCAGTAACATAATGCTGTGTATTTCTCTGCACAGCAAAGAAATACACAGTAGCATGTTTCCCAAGTAAAACACACACGGCACATGTTGTAAAACACAGCACAGCACAGAGTTAACCCTTTGATTGCCCCAGATGTTAACCCCTTCCTGCCTAGTGGCATTAGTACAGTGTCAGTGCTTTTTATTAGCACTGATCACTGTATTAGAGTCATTGGGATGTCAGCTGAAGTTAGTCAGTTCCCACCCAGTGTCAGAATGCTCGCCGCAGTCCCACTATAAGTTGCTGATTGTTGCCATTACTAGTATAAAAAATGAAAAAAAACAATTCCAGTATCTATGCCACCATTTGTAAACGTTGTAACTTTCACGTAAACCAATTAATTTACACGTATTGGGATTTTTTTTTAGCACAGACGTAAAATTTGGCCTATATTTATGATAAAATTTGATTTTTTTGATTTTTTTTTTATCGGATATGTTTTTATAGCAAAAAAAAAAAATATTTTTCAAAATTGTCTCTTTTTTGTTTATAGCGCAAAAAATAAAAAAAATGCACAGGTGATCAAATACCACCGAAAGAGAACTCTATTTGTGGGGAAAAAGGATGTAAATTTCATTCATGTACAGTGTTGCAAGACCATGCAATTGCCAGGTAAAATAATGCAGCGCCGTATTGCAAAAAATGGCCTGGTCAGGAAGGGGGGTAAATCCTCTGCAGGGTAGTGGTTAATGTTTTTTTTGTAATATATTTTATTTGGGTGGTATGGAGACATACTTTGTTGCTTTTTTATATAGATACAGTATATTGTGGTGATTTCAATGCCACATAAGCTGCATTGTATGAGCTGTATTTATAAAAGTGGCTGCATGAAGTATTATGTCACGTATTAGTATTACTAAGTCACAATAATATGTTAACTAGGGCCCTATGTACACAGGGTGTTTACCCATCTCTCCTAGATGCCTTTCCTCCTCGCAGCAGCGTTTTGGCAGAAAAACCGCTTGATGCTTGTAAACAGGTGTAAACATGTCTAGATGCATTGGAGCGCTTGGGCATTAATTCATTTCTCTGAGCAGTAAAATAATTTAATCTAGCCATTGAAATTAATTAATGCTCAAGTGTGTCTAGCATTAGCGCTCGTGCATTTTTTTCTATGAAAGCCTCCTGGTCGTGCTGGTGATGGTTCTTTTTCCTACTCTAAACGCCTATGTGTGAATGGATACATAGGCTAACATGCAGGGGCATTTAGAGGCAGAAAAAAAACACCAGATGCCCCTAAAACCAGCATTTTTTTATGCTCAGTAGATATATTTTAAAGATGGCCTGATCTAAGGAATCACTGCACGTTGTATGTCACCGTTGCTCTATGTATTGCCATATAATAAAACAAGGCTGTATGTGTTATATGGGCAGCACATTTTTAATTGTGTTTTCTATGGAAGGAAGCTGGATAAAAGTAGACTTAAGCTACAGTCAACAATAACATAACTTCAACAAAATAATGTATTTTTATGAAGAACAAATGCATACATTACCTCCAAATAGAAAAAACATTCCAGTTAAAAGCAATAGCAGATATGCCCTTGCTAGTATACTAACAAATCCAGTCATTCCTCCAAAAATGATCAGGATGAGACTAAGGGGCAGCAGAATTACAAGAGTTCCATGCATACCTGCATATAAAATAGAGGATTTATTATTGTTGCAACACAGGTATGGAAAATAACAAACTTAATTAATAACATTTTAATTTACTTACATCTGAGACTGCATAATTGGATAACGGTAAAAGAAAAAAACTTGGTAGTCTGCAGTACAAATTATGTTTCAAATGAATTAATGCTTTCATTGTTTGGTGACTGTGTAAGTACCTTGTATAATTATATTATTCCCCCATTTGCATTTTGTTCCTAATTGTAACTACACTTACTGTACAAGTAAAAGTGTGAAATTGAAGGTTAATATGTATTTTATTTGCTACCCATTAATCAGTTATATGAAATAATTTTGTTAGAAGTTCTATAAAAGTGAATTTATTGCTAACTCATAGCCAAATCAGAAGATGGCTTCTGGTCTATGGGGATCAACTGCACTGGCAGTGAATTCCTATAGACCTGGGATGAATGGTAAAGGGTGGCTTACTTTAGGCAGGAAGGACAAGTGCCCTTTATATGAAAATATGCCTATCCTTTAACTCATCTTAGATTTCTGCATTATGCTTACCTAGGATTTGATGAACCATTAAACGTATGCTCAAGTTAGAACTGAAAATTGATATTAAGATGCCCACATGGACCCACCTCCTGGGTAACCATTCCATCCCACTCTTTTGTCCTTACTCTTACGATCCTAGAATTCACTTGTTGGTGCTGTTGGAAGACCTTTCTTACCTACCCTTGCACGCATTTATCTTATCATACAAAAAATCCCTGTTATTAGATGTTTCTCACAGCCACCAAAGTATTGATAAAGAACAGAAAAAAAATTCATGGCACAGGACTCAGGAAGCCAGTTCTTATCTCCCTTCTAAATGATCTGCAGAGGATTACACAGAACATGGCAAATTAGGTGAATTTCTAAAGCTAATTGCAGCGTGTGCTGTAGCTCACTGAATATTTAGAATTTTTTCCCAAAACTACTAACCTATCACAATCTGTATATTAAAGCGATTGTAAACCCTCACCTTGTAAAATAACCCATTCTGTTTAAAATAGAAATGAAAGGCGAAACATTTGTGTATATATATAAAAAAAAACATTATATACAGCTTTTTCCCTCTTTTTTTATAAGGGATTACATACCCTCTGCTCTCAGCTGCATAAAAGCTATGGGAGGAGAAATAGCAGCACACTGATCTTCCCAGTAAATGGCTGTGAAGGGAGGGGGTGTCAACAGAAGTCTGATTATTGCAGCAGAGCACACTGAGTTCCAAGCACAGCCAGAGAACTGACCACGCTGTGTTTTCCTGCCTAGTGATGTAATTTTTTTAATAGGAAACCAGAGGGATTTGTAGGGATTTCACACAAAGAAAGCAATATAAAGAGAACAGGATACTTTTTCATACAGGTACATGGTACAGCAGGCACGTACGAGGGATAAGAAATGTTGGGTTTGCATATTCTTACTGCTACAAAACCAGGCAATCTTGACAATACAAGGGCAACAAATTGACAACTGTGACAATATGCCAGCATCAAACAGGCAATTGTTCAAATACATTGGAAACAAACAGACAATGGTGAAAATATTCAGGCAACAAATAGATAGGCCTTACAATACATGGGCTACAAATGGCCAGTTGTAAAAACATGGGGCCAACAATGAGCAATCATTACAAAACACCATCTTCATTGCCGTATGCAGTATAATAGAATGTTTCCAGGAATATGTAGATAATAATTATTATTATTATACAGGATTTATATAGCGCCAACAGTTTGCTCAGCGCTTTATGTAGATTATATTTTACAATCCCTGGCAGCTTCCACACAAGCATATTTAAAAAACACAAATTTATTGCAGCGTTTAAAGAATGTGAAATCTGAAGAGAGTTTAATACTAGTAACAGCAAGTGTAGCATCGTTATTGATGATAATCAAATGTGTGTCGAGGCTGCAAAATGGCTCTGGGTATGGAGGAAAGTATCTCTAATGCATAAAGAATATTTATATTAAGGTGTATAGATATGTTTTTAAACATTTTTTGGTATGATAGAAAGTTTTCTTTTTTTTCACAGGAAAAAGGAGCAGCTATAGGAGCAATATTTCTACTAAGTCTAGCCAATATATAAATAGGCAGGTGGGAAAACGAACTATATTATAACTTATTCTAATAGATGGCCTCAATTATTAATATACAAATGTTATGACTGTACTTTCCTAATTTGGAGTGGAGACAGGGAATCATTCACAATACTCCTCCAGGAATCTACTGATATACAAAGTGAACACTTTTTTGGATTTAAACAGATGGAGAATAGGACCACACTAACATCTACTTCAAACCCACTGAATGAAATGGATTAATTTGCATTCAAAGTTGCCTTCATCCAAAATAACAATTAATATAATAATCAATTATACTAAACCATTCACCTGTTTAAAAAAGAATTGTACAAAATAAGAGGTGTGTTCAGAACAAAATAATACATTATCAGAGAGATATAAACAGAAAGGTTATGAAGATAAAATGCTTGGGCATAGGTGAAAAGAAGAAAATGGGACAATAAATTGGCATGAAACAAATATAAAGTGGAGAGTGGAAGATTTTGGATTTGTTATAGAATGGAATGCCAAACATAAACAAATAGAAACTATTTTGTTCAAAAAGCACTGACCTATTTTATTGGAAGATAGGGTATTGGGACCAAAGCTCCCTATAAAAAGTCCAATAATTTATAGGAGGGCTCTCAGTTTGAAGGATGCCTTTGTTTATTTAATGTTAAAGCCTAACGGCATGTTTTACTTTAAATGGTTTGTTTGGACCAACCTTAAATTGGTGAACACATTTAAAATATATAAAAGAGGTATTAAGCACAGTGTGCCAGTACAATTTAAAGATATCATAAAGAAAAAAATTAATTGCCAATGCAGTATTTACCCAGCCCCCAAAAATGGAACAATTTCTACAACCAATAAAAAAGCTTTGTACACATCCCAAGTTTTTTAGCAGCTGTTTCACTGTTACAAATACTGTGAATGTTTTTTAAATGGGTCCATCCTGAAGGATTTTGTCTGTGGAGTTATGGTGTTTTTCACCATCAAGATCCAAAATAATGTTTTATTTAATAGAGAAAGCATGGTAACCCATAATGAATATTCTTGCAGAATAAACCCAGGTCATGAATTGTATATTTTGTACTACTGTCACACAGCCACAAAAAAAATAGGTTTTTAGTATTGAAGGTGCCTAAACACCATCACCCCATGGAAACATTCCTGAAGAATAAAGGATGGCTCCTGCTTTAACAAATGTTCACTGTGTCGGCAATTGTTATACAGCTGTAAAAAAAAACATTATTTTGGATCTTGATGGTGCCACATACCATAACTCCACAGACAAAATACTTCAGAATGGACCTATTTAAAAAAAATTCACAGTATTTGTAGCAGTGAAACAGCTGCTAAAAAACTTGGGATGCCACGTTAAAATTGCCATTGGCAAGAGCAGCAGCTCTACTTTAATGGCATGTTAACAGTAGCAGGTAGACGTATGTGCTAATGGTGGCTGGGTATTCTTGGGATGCAGCAAAAAATAAGTATTTGGAGCATATCAGGATCACATTTTTAATCAGCAGTATCTGCTGCAGGGGCTTGGTAGCTGCTGCTGACCTGAGACTGATTGAAAAATGCCCATGGACAGATGGGGGTTTATTCACTAAAGCTGTAGAGTCCAAAATCAGACTCCCTTCTGCATAGAAACCAATCAGCTTCCACGTTTCATTGCCAAATAGTGTCATTGCCAAATAGTTTCATTGCCAAATTGGTGTCCCAATAGCTGAGGGCATCATCAGTTCAGGGTAACACCCACTTGCCCCCAGATAATCAAGCACCTTGTGATACAGCCACTGCCATTAGTGGCCACAAGTTTCATCTGTAGCACTTCCTCCAGATTAAACAAAATAAAATTACTCCAGTTCAACCAAAATTGTGTCAATATGTCATTAAATGTTAAATGTTCTGCAGCTGAGGTCTAAAACGTATTCCACATGTAACACCACAATACAATGTATTTACTCAGTGACTCAGGGCTGTGATCTCATCCACTTGCTCCAACAAGTATAGAGCATGTTAATTCATAAAACTACCACTAAATAAATATCCATTAGTAAATAAATAATATAAATATATATTATTAAAAATCTAGAAAGTTCATAGAAGTGAGAAGTGAATATCTTCTCAATATCCTCTGATAATTTAATCAAATCAACATGATAAAATAAGTTCAATACAGTGTTCACTTATAAATTTCATATATCTTCCCAATCTTCCGTGCTACTGTAAACCACTGCATGATTTTCCTTCCACTGCCATAAATCAACTCACCTCAATATTATGACCTACTAAGAATGTGGTCAAAATGTGCCTGTCTCTTTAAGGGTGAAATCCTGTACCACGTCCACCAGATCACATACACCTTGCCATATATCCAAAGATTGATGTTAAAACATCATAGTGTTTTCCATAAAATAACTATCTGGTCTTGGAAAATCACAGTTAATGAAGGTGTGCTTGTACTCTCCACTCTCCCTCTACACACAGGGCGATGCTTCCACTAGGCAGACTAGGTGGCTGCCTAGCGCACTGCCTCCTAGGGGCACCTGGGCGCTGCACAGACCAGCACTTTCTTTGCGTGGGACGCCGCCACATCATGCACAATCCTTCAGCTGAGGGGAGGGGTAGCAGGGAGGAGGAGGAAAGTACAGAGAAAGACAGAGAAAGATGCCCGATGTCTGGGGCCATTGTAGCATTTGAGCTGCCACTCCATCCAGTGTTTCTCTTAGATTCAGTCCCTTACTGCAGTACTTACTAATCACTGTCGAGTTCCAGCACTTCTTTTCCCATTCATCAGCAGAAGTGGAGATGAGCCTGTGGAGGAAGGTAATGTCTGACTCTGATGTCCCATGTCTGTGGGAGTGTGACCTGACCGGCCATCCATCACGTGTGCAATGTGT